ATTTGTTGTTGTATCTATGTCTTTGGATGTTATAGAGCAATAAGCCTACATAATAAGAGGCTGTGCATTACAGTGATTTTTCCCATGGTGCAAATCACAGTAAGATCACAGTAAAAACACAAAACCTTGAGTGCCTAACTGCTTTCATATGCAAAAGTTTGGGCACCCCTGGTGAAAACATGTTAACACATCCACAGAGAACATAGACATATCTGGCATTTATCTGCCAATGTTATTTACTAATAATTTTTTAAAATATTTATTTATATCTATTATATTTATATTATTAATAATAAAATCTAAAATAAATGTCATGCCATATATGCCATAACTCTTGTGCACAAGTTGTACTTATGTAATAATAATAATAATAATAATAATAATAATGATAACAATAATAATAATAAATTTAGATGTTTCCAAAATTTGTTTATTATTAGAAATCTCATTAATAATCCTTCAAATCTATACAGTTTAAATTAAAATAGCCTTTTATATATATTTAGGGCTATTCTACCAACTTTTCAAAATTTCTTTAAAGTTAAAATGTAAACAAAGCCATTCAGAGCGGTTTGATGTGAAAGAGAAAATGACCTAGTCAGAATTGTTCACAGTGGTGGTGATGGGAACCAGACGTCTGAAGAGTTTAGTGCCTCTAAAAGCTCCCTCACAGAAAGTTATTACATGAAATGGTTTATGAATTCACTGCCTGATGTCTGAGACATTGTTCTATGATTTTTTCATAATTTCTGCCCTAAAATATAATTTTTACAGTTCATTCATGGTGGAGGGGTACATGCATGGTGTTGTAAGGCAACATAGTTCCCAGATAGCACTTTTATTTCACTCTTTTACCATCATAAACATTACATATAAAAATAAAATGGCTATATTTGTGTTGCAGACATGGTGACTCCTGGTTCCATTCACTACCACTGTAAAGAAGTCACTGTAAAGGGGTCTGTAAGTGTGCATGCTTTACGTACCACTTTGGGCAGCAGTGCCTCCAGTGTCTCTTTAATGGCCACCCGCAGGTTGCTGGCATCAACGATGGAGGCCAGCCGCAGCAATGCATCCTGGGAAAAAAAGGCACAAACAAAAGTATCACTGCAGGATCAGCTGAGAGGAAAGGTCAAAGTTTAACACAGCCGCAGGAAAACCGATAATGATGCTTGTAACCCTGCCTCTCTGAAAATGCCATTCCTTTATAATAACAATACTCAGCTCACACATTCACTTCCCTTCGCGCTTGCCTGACCTCCACGTTCTCATTAAATGTGTTGCAGGCCATTGACCTTTGCCTCCAGCCTTCCGCGTGACCCCCGATCTTCATTAAAACGTACGCAGCGAGACGCTTCATCAGAGCGGCCGCTGTAGCCATTAAGTCGTTAAGGCAACGAGCCGTTAAGCGATAGCAGCTAAATGAGACTGAGCCGCTGAGCATCAGCTGAGCTTAATCACGGACAGACTGATGGACAGATGGAGACATTTAGAAGATAGATGTATAGGTGGATTGATGTGTGGGTGGAAGACGACAGAACATACATGGATGAACATATGGATGAAAAAATGAATGGATTTAGAAATTGATGGACGTAGTGTTGAAAGATGTATATATATGGACAGATGGATGAAGACAGAAGATGGATGAACATATGGCTGGAGAAATGGATGGATTTAGATAGATTAAGACAGAGAAGATGTATGAACAGATGGATGGAGGGATATATGAAAGGGAGGAAAAATGGATGGCTGGAGGCCTCAAAAGTTGGATGGATCATTGAATGAAGGCATTAAAACACAGTATCATATATATATATATATATATACTATATATATTATATATATATATATATATATAAACATAAATAAATAAATTACTATAAATAAACTAATTAAAATAGTAACTATCATAAACTTTTTAGTACTTTCTATGAATTATTTGGTAACTGCTTTGAATTATTCTGCAACCATTAATTCAGTAATGACTATACTTTTTGTGATTACTATGAATTAATTAGTCACTATTATGAATTATTCACTAAATAATAATTATATGGATTATCCAGTACCTACTTTAAATTTTTCAGTAATGCCTATGAACTTTCCTATAACTACTTTGAATTATTCAGTACGTAAATTATTTAGTAAAACTACCATGAACTAGTTAGTAACTATTTACTATGAACTACTACTAATTATCAAGTTTCTGCTGTGAATTATCTGTTAACTTTTACAAACTTTTCCCACAACTACTATGAATTATTCAGTACCTTCTATACATTATTTGGTAAAACTACTAAAAAACTATTTAGTAACTATTTTACTATGAATTATTCAACAAATACTACTAATTATCCAGTTTCTGCTGTGAATTCTCTGGTAACTATTACAAATTATCTAGTAACTATTATGAAATTTTCCCATAACTACTATGAATCACTATAAATTATTCAATAACTATTATGAATTATTTGGTAACTACAACCCCATTTCCAAAAAAGTTGGGACGCTGTGCAAAATGTAAATAAAAACAAAATGCAAAATGTTTAACCCCAATATTTTATTGAAAATAGTACAAAGACAACAGATAAAATGTTGAAACTGAGAAATGTTATTGTTTATTGAAAAATATTTGCACATTTTGAATTTGACACGTCCCAAAAAAGTTGGGATAGGGGCAACAAAAGGCTAGTAAAGTTGTGTAATGCTACCCTGGTGGTTGATTGGAAACAGGTCAGTAATGTGATTGGGCATAAAAGAGCATCTCAGAGAGGCGGAGTCTTCCAGAAGTAAAGATGAGGAGGGGTTCACCACTCTGTGAAAGACTGCACCATCAAATAGAATAAAGTTTCTCAACATAAAATACTAAAGAACTTCTGCTTTTCATCATCTACAGTACATAATATCATTAAAAGACTCAGAGAATCTGGAGAAATCTCTGTATGTAAGGGACGAGGCGAAAACCAGTATTTGCTGCCTCTGATCTTTGGGCTCTCAGGCAGCACTGCATTAAAACAGACATGATTCTGTAGTGGAAATCACTGCATGGGCTCAGAAACACTTCTGAATCCAGAAAGGCTGCCACCTTCTCTGGGCCAGAGCTCATTTAAAACGGACTGAGGGGAAGTGGAAAAGTGTCCTGTGGTCTGACGAATCAACATTTTAAATTCTTTTTGGAAATCATAGACACTGTGTCCTCTGAGTTAAAGACCACTCAGCTTGTTATCAATGCCCAGTTCAAAAGCCAGTATTCATGATGGTATATGATATATACATGTTTGGGCAACATATGCTGCCATCCAGACGACGTCTTTTTCAGTGAATGCCTTGATTATTTCAGCAAGACAATGTCAAACCACTTTCTGCATGTATTACAGCAGCATTGCTCCATATTAAAAGAGTCCAGGCACTAAACTGACCTGCCTGCAGTCCAAACCTGTAACCCATTGAAAACATTTGGAGGATTATGAAATGAAAAATATGACAAAGGAGCCCCCAAAATGTTGAGCAGCTGAAATTCTGTATTAAACAATAATGGGAAACATTTCACTTTCAAAACTACAGCAGCGTCTCCTCAGTTTCCCAAACGCTTACAGAGTGTTGTTAAAGAAGAGGTGATGAAACACAGTGGTAAACAGGCCCCCGTCCCAACTTTTTTGGAGTGTGTTGTTGGCATCAAATTCAAAATGGGCATATATTTAAAAAAAAATTCTCAGTTTCAACATTTGACTTGTTGTCTTTGTAGTATTTTCCTTTAAAAATATGGTTTACATAATTTGCATATCATTGCATTCTATTTTTATTTACATTGCATAGCATCCCAACTTTTTTGGAAATAGGGTTGTAGTATGAATTATTCACCAGTTACATCAAATGTGTAATTTATGTAGAGAGTGAAGAACTGAAGTCAACATTGGGGCCCTTAGGGGTTTAAATATACATTTTGAGTGCACTAGATTAAGAGGGATTTTAATTTCCGTGAAATCTTTGTTGGACTGGGTCAGCAGAGTGACTCGTTCATCCACCATGGCGGCCTTGACAGGGACCTCTGGCTGCTCAGCAGCCCTGCTATGAATAAATGAATAAAGCTTCAGCTCAAAGTAGTTTTTTGCCATCTCTTGCTGCTTCAGGCCCCCAATCATTCAAATAAATGTTTAATTCTGCAGTCTTTGTCGCTGAGAATGCATCGATTCTTGCCATATTTTACATTAGAAAACACTCTGTCTATGCAAACCTTTCTCCTTTATGTTAGCCACATGTATGTGCAGCCTAATAATCCATTGATAACTAAACTAATGGCTCAATCGGAATAGAATTCATCCATGTATACTCCTCAATCGGACTAGACTAGCCTGACTGAGGCCATTGGGAATACTATTTCTATCTAATTGATCGAGGTGGGTAATCCTGTAAATAAACCGTTAAATAGAAGAATAATAGCCGTGTAAACGCCTGTATCTGATTACATTCCCTATCGGAAAGTTGAAGGATGTTCTGGTCATGTGCGTCACGTCATACTGAACGTTTAACGTGGGCAAAAATCTTTGCATGCAAGCACAGCCATTTATACACTACAGTTCCTCCATCAGTTTTCTTCATTTGAAACAAAACGCAACGTCCATCAAATGGTTGACGCTGTGTATGATGTCCTCACACACATTCGTGCACACACACACACACCCCCCCACCTCTCACTTCACCTACTGCTCAAGAACCCTATGACAATGCACAGTGGGATTCAATTCCGCTGCATTGATCCCACTTTCAATTTACTGAAGCAGAATTGACTGAAAACCTTTTAAAAGGAGCTCACTTAAACACACCATTACACTCACACACCCATCCACCCACCCACACACACACTTTTACAAGAACACACTGTCTTGTCTCTCCACCCGAGGTGCTGTTCTGCTGGTCCCTGTCAGCTGATTTGGGACTGAAAGGCCAAAAGGTGTGAAAAAAGTGTCAGGTCCAGAAAACTCCCTGAATTCCCTGTAGAACAGCAGTGGAGCCAGTGCTGGACCTGGAAAGTTTTATGAGGACTGGCATAGTGGTGGCAAAGAGTTTTGGCGGGGTGGCATGTTCATATGGCACTCGGGTCTATTTGGTACAGAGATAACACCTCATAATAACGATAAGACATCTGGTAGCTGTTACTTTACAATTGACTAATCATGAAAGAATGAGGTATTTAACATTATTAACATATTAACGCTGCTTTGTAAGACACACATAAATGTGTGCAGATGACTTATAAGTACCTTTATAGGCTCTAATCTAAAGTGGTCACTTAACCATATTTACATGCAGCCTAATAATCTGTTATTAATCCAACTAATAGCTCAATCAGAATAGAATATGTCCATGTAAACACCTCAATCGTTATACTGTAGTCAGATCAAGGCCATTCAGAATACAGATTCTATCCTATTGAACAAGGTGGGTAACGCTGTAAATAATAACCATGTAAACGCCTGCATCTGATTATATTCCCTATCGGAAAGTTTAAGTCCGTTCTGATCATGTTCGTCGCGTCATAGTGAAAGTTTATACCGTTCAACATGGCGGAGCAGAAACTGGTCTGCAGAGGAGACGAAGTTTCTGCTCTGATCTTTAAAAGCCGGCGGTGGGACGGATGTCCAGCTTATGTGTCTCAGAACACGACGTCTTCCTCTCAGCCTTCTTTAATAAGGACATGTGAAGTTCGTTTAATTTTAAAGTGGTTAGAACACTGGCCCTGGTTACTGTTGCTCTTCCCAGACTGACTTGACATGCGATGCTCGTTGTCATTATCACCATCTATGCAATGAGCTTAGATGTCGAGAAAAAACTTACAAACTTAAAACCTAACCAGTCAAGCATCCTAGGCTAAAGCATACTGTCACAGTGGGCATGAAAAAAAGTGTTTATGGACCACTTGTAGTGTTTATGGACCACTTGTTTTTGTAGTAAAAGAGCATCAAATTGGCTGAGCATGCAGCAACTTCTTTAACACAAGCTTGAAAATGAAGTCTTGAAAATTTGGTTTTGGAAATGAAAAATTGGAAATTTTTAGAAAATGACACTCTATTTT